GGGGAGAAGCTGTACCACGGGACCCCCTTCCGCCGGTGCGTGGACGAGGGACTCTTGGACTGTACGCGCGTCGTGCAGATTGGCATCCGGGGCTCTTCCATGACCCTGGATCCCTACAGATACAGCTGGAGCCAGGTGACAGACCAAATGCCCCTCCCACTGTCCGCAGCCCGCCCACAAAGTTCCTTCTTCTCCACTGCCCACTCATTGGTGGCTATGGATTCAACAGTGGCTTTGATAATCAAGTTCAGAAAATGGGGACTTAAGTCTGAGATTGTGTCAAGAGGGTCAGGTGGAGCAGAGAGGAGCAAGGCATTAGTTCATGAGGCAGAGGAGGCCTCTCATCACAGGCAGGGAGACAAGCAGAAACAAACCAGCCCCTCAGAGGTTGCTGGCTTGGAAGAGAGCTGAGCAGGTCCCATCTTGAGGCAAGTGGCCACCTTTTTACCCGTCATCCTTATACCCACTAGGGGGAGTGGCTCCCAGGTAAACACCTGTGACAAGACCCCAACAGGAAAGACCCAAGTCCCCTGCTTTTAGAGCATGCAGAGGCCAGTCTACTGGACAGGGCTGTTCAGGACGTGCTAGCATGAGCTGTATTGAAGTTCTTGCTCTTGATTTAGCCAAGCTTCTCCTGAGGCCACCCTTGGAAGTCCACTTTGACTTACTCCCTGCTTCTCCACCAGTCATCATCACGGTCCCTCCCTTCCTCCCTGTATAAGGGACAGGAGAGTTCCCTCCTCATGAACCCTGAGGTCAGGTGTGATGTGCACAAAAGCACTTAGCAGGGGGTTGGCACACAGGAAATGCCACTATGCAGAAGCTTGAGCTCCACTTTCCAATCCCTGCCTCCTCAGGGCTTCCGGGTGGTCCTGGCTGAAGACTGCTGGATGAAGTCGCTGGTCCCTCTGATGGGGGAAGTGAGGCAGCAGATGGGAGGCCAGCCCATTTACATCAGCTTTGATATCGATGGCTTGGATCCTGCCTATGCCCCAGGGACAGGGACACCTGAAATTGCAGGTCTCACTCCAAGTCAGGTAAGGACGTTCCATTAGTGACAATTCCTGGGGGTGAGGATTCTTAACGCTGCACTTTACTCCCAATGAGTCTTTAGGAGTCAGGATAGAATTTAAAAGCGGAGGCCTTTACTTTTTTCTCAGGGCCGACTGTAGATTTGAATACTCTTAGGAATTACTGAGTTTGCCAAGGACCCTCATTTCTTATTGGAATATTCCTTTAGTGGGTCTTTCTGCCTCTGGTCTCCCTGTAGTCGGTTCATGGGGACAATACTGTAGTACCCTCTCTTAAGAACACTAAAGTTATCTTTTTGGGGTTAAATTTAACAAGTGTATATAATGGGATTAACCACCTACTAAGGTAGTCAAGAGGTTTAAACACCCAAATAAAGCTCCCATAAGGTGTGCTGAATGCACGTGCAGAGAGGCAGAATTGAGATGTGCTTATAGGTAGACGTAAGCTCCAGGAGGGTTGGGCATTTTGCTCAGTACTTGCCCTTGGAGCCTAGAATAGAGCCTGTCATACAAATAGTAGGTACTCAAGGATCTTTGAGTAAATGAATGAAGACTGCTTAAACCTAATATATTATCTTATATCCTCTAAGAAAGGGCGATGGTCATAACTTCCTCTTCAAAGCCATTCCCCACCAGTTCCCATCAGAGACGTATCTAACCCGCGATCCTCATTCCTTAGCTGACCATCCTTCGAGGCTTTTCACCTGCGGGAATGGAAACCTTCAGACACAGCGACTGTCTTCCTACCTTCCCCCTCACTTATCCTGTCTTCCAGCCATGTCTACCCCCATCTTGGTGTCTTTCCCCTGCTGGGGCTGCCTTACCCTGGGGTCTGTTCCTTGAGCTAAGTGTTTCCAGGCTAAGGCCTTCTCTCACTTCTTCAAGCTGTTATGTGTGCTGATACTATTTCACACTTGCTTTTTTTGACGCCCTTAACGCGTGATGTTGAGATGACTGGTTGGTCTGCCTTCATCATCACATATGGACCCCTTGGGAGCAGGGCCTGTGCATTGGTCGTGTCTCTGCTTTGTCTGGCAGTCAGTAGGTGTTGACTGATGGAAATCAAGTTTCAAGTCAAAGGGTGGGTGTGTGTCGGGAGGAATCCACTGTGGCCTCTACTGGGTGCTTTTCATTGTAAATGAGTAGCGCTGTGGACAACTCAGGTTCCATCTTGGACAGGCGCTGGAGATCATCCGGGGTTGTCAAGGTCTGAATGTGGTGGGATGTGATCTCGTGGAAGTTTCGCCGCAGTATGATCCTTCTGGTGAGTCACTGAGAAAAGTTACGATCTATATGTAGCTGCTAGTTTAAATTAATACCTAGTATTAATCTAGGTAATAAGCAGATGGATGGGTCTTTTTGTTAACTCAGATCCTAGTATCTCCTATGGTGAGGAAAATAGGCCTATTACTGTATACCTTAGAAGCAAGAGCTAATTAACTCTAACAAAACTCCTGGGAGGCAGCTAAGTATTATTAGCTCACCCACCCATCAGCAGAGGAGAAAAAAATCCGGCCTGTAGTTTGGTGATAGGATGGCACAGTTCCATCCTCCTTTGACATTTCATTGAAAAGGGAATTCTCGAGGCATAAATAATGTTTATTAAAATTAATGACGTGCGGAGTTAGCCGGTCTAGGAGAGATAAGCAAAGCGGATGCCATCTCAATAATTTTAATTTAGAACAGTGTACAGTTAGACCTATTAGCCTCAGAGTAGATAATAAACACAATACAAATCATTATTACAGGTTTTTCTTTGAGGGAAAATGTCCTCAGAGTAAACAAAGAACTTTCTGAATTTTAAAATACTGTTTCTGAATGATCTTGACGGGGTGGAATGGCAGGGAGAGCACGTCCGCAGGCTGGTCGGGCAGCTGGGAGGAGAGAATGGAAGGCAGCTCTCTGGACAGTGAGCAGGGAGGGAGGGGGGCTGGAGTCCCCAGTGCCTCGGCCCCTGGAGACGGTCTGCACGGCACTCACCTTGGGTTTTTTACTTCTTGGTAGGAAACACGGCCCTCCTGGCGGCTAACCTGCTGTTTGAGATGCTGTGTGCCCTCCCCAGAGCGAAAGTCATCTGAACCTTGTGCTCTTCAAGGTAAAACCTCATATGGTGTTGATGACAAATTCTCAGGAAGAATTTATGTGCAAGCAGTCGGAGGACGCAAGAGTTTATGCCAGTGAAGCTTTCTGCTCAAAATGTCATCAGTAGCTGTAAAGTCTGGGCATTCAGTAGAACTCTAATCTAAACAGCTAATGTTTCTAAGGAGTTTGGATTAATTAAAAAAAAACAACAAACCACTTGTGATTTTCTTTTCCCTTTGATGAAAGATGGTAGAAGATAAAGGGGAAGGAGAGAATTTAGTTTAAGATTACCTAAAAATTGGAGGGATAAAACAAAAAAAACCCTAAGAAATAATACTGTGTAAGCAATTCCATAGTTCTAGTCTTTTCCTTTAAACTATAGCTTCTCCTCTGGAGAGATTAGGCTGCACTTTGGTTTTAGGACCATCATGAAATGTAAACCTGTTTGAAGGAATAATGTAAATCCCGGTAAAAGAAACCTCCCCCTGAAGAGCTCAGCAGAGCCCCAGAAATGTCTCCACCTGATCCGCTGGCCTCCAGAGAGCCCTTCACAGGCACGGCCTTCACCAGCTCCCTGCAAGGCTGTTTTGCATTACCTGCTCTTCAAGCGGACACGCCCACAATGACAGCAATTCCCGGAATCTGTGGCTCAGCCGTGCAGATTGCAAGCACGTGTTGAGTTACAAGCAAATTCAATTTTGTTGATAATGTGCCCATCATCAAACTGTATCTCGCAATGCAAGATCTACTCACAGTGATCACACATTAAAATAGTTTATTTGTTTCCAGTCTGTAAGATTCTTCAAACAAAAATAACATCAGCTTCAGTGCCTGTTCACAATACAAAACAAAAACAACATAAAAAAGACACCATTTGCCAAATAAGTTATTTGTTCCTAAGAGTATCAAAAGTGCAAAATGTTCGCCTTCCTCTCAGAGCTGTCTCGAGAGTATAATCCTTCCTGAAAAACTGAACAGCCAGATTCAGCAGCTGCCACACTGCAATTGTTTTCAGAGGCCAGCGTCAGGTACTTGGACGTGAGCAGTCTTTCATCTGTAAAGATGTTCCGCATCAACTTTTAAAGAATTTTACTTAGAAGTTTGTTTGCTTCTGATCCTTTTTCCCCAACAAAGCAAATCACTTAAAACACATTCAGATCCTATTTCTCTTTGTATCAGGAAAACATTTTATGTATTGAATGAGGAGGGCATCAATCTCTTATTTGAAAACTACTACCAGATTTTCATGATGTGACGGCAGCGAGACCTTGGTGCCCAAAGGCAGTTAGGGCTGTCTTGCTCATTGAAATGTCGCTTAAAGTTGGAGCTAATGAGCTCTGTGAGACAAATTGTGCCACTGACACCTGGACAGTAAAAAAAAAAGACTTTTTGAATGGGCATCTATTCCATAAAGACTTGTTTTAGGCCAGTTTTCACCCCCATCTGCTTAATATGATGCACAGTCTATAGCAACTGCAAAAGCCTACCTCTAGAAATAGCAGTGTTTCAAGACATTTGAAGATTAGGAGAACTTAAAATCAAAATTAGGTCTGTGTGATTACATACATGAGAAAGAAATGGTGGCATTGGCTGAGCATGACAATGGCTCATCATTTGACACAAAAGTAAACAAATTCATGGACCAACATTCACAGAGAAGGCCTGGGTGTCAAGGGTAAAGTTCAATTTATAATAAAAGCTCCCTAGTCTAGTAGATCCTTTTGGGGGACAGATCTACCAGCTCCCAATTCTGCAGAATTTTTGGACTGAAATACTTGCCAGGAATGTTTTCAATCCTATTATTACTTTCTTAGTACAAATGTACTAAGGTATCTGAAGGTACAGTTATCTGAAGGTATTTTTAATGCTAAAAAAAAAAAACCCAATTCTGCAGAATTTTTGGACTGAAATACTTGCCAGGAATGTTTTCAATCCTATTATTACTTTCTTAGTACAAATGTACTAAGGTATCTGAAGGTACAGTTATCTGAAGGTATTTTTAATGCTAAAAAAAAAAATGAACATATCTGGGGAGGTTTTGGTTTTCAGAAATTAAGATTCCCATTAGTACTAGCAATTAAAAATAAAAACTTATCACTGAAACAAAATGCTACTCGTATAAGTGATTTGGCTATAAATAACCCAGAAAATAACTCCGAGGACAGGGCATCAAGGAGCCAAATTAATTGCTTGATTATGTCTACCTGGGCCAGGTGCCATGAGATGGGGCCATCAGAGTAAGCATCCATTTTTAGAGGATCATGTGGAAAAATAAAGCCTGGCAGTGATTTCTTAACAAAGCTATAAAACTTCGTAAAATCTTTAGGAATTCCTGGGCTTTCATAATTTATTACTGGCCACTGTAGCTTGATATTTAAATAATTTGGGATCCAAGTGGCTTAGTTCAAAACAATTATGATTAAAGAAATACCAACTTAGTAAATATCCCATCACTGATTTTGACCCTTCACTTTATAAAAGGGCAATTTGCTTTGACAATTGAACAGACCACTCCTTGAAGCTATCTAAACTCCTTTGGTGGTGTAGCCCTAAGAAGAAAAGCTAAACTCTAACTGGCTGGTTATGATCCAGCCTGGAGTCCACTGTACACTGGAGTGCAAGCTGGGGTGCTGATAGAACAGGTTTGACCCTGTAAACTTGTGAAGCAGTTTTAAGTTAAGAGTGAAAACACTTAAGACGAGACATCAAAATATAGGCCAGAAGCTCAGAGTAAGCCCTCTGCAAAACAGAGGAGTCTAGAATAAGTCTTGACTCACTTGCCATAAAAGAGAGCTTGAAGATACAGTGCTTTTGGGGTAACAGTGTCCAAGAACAAGTGTTGAGAAATTTTAAGTTCCTCAATACAAAGACATGTCTGGTGCTTTACTAGAGACATCACTGGAGTGAAGAGGTTTCTCCAACTGACTCATGGCAGAGGGGAATATGTCTTCAGTTCACCATCTACTGGCTTATAGCAGCTTATCTCTACATTCAGAGAACAAGATTACAAGTTATGGCTCCTAATATCCATACCCTAAAACTGACAGAGGCAGAAGGGCATGTGAAAACACATACATAAAGAGCTCAAAGTCATTACAGTGCTTCTCGCCGTGCAGACCCCTCCCTGGCCACACGGAGCCCTGGGGAGGCGCTGCTGGGACGCTCACAGAGGGGTCGCTTCGGTCGCCACCCAGCCCACCCTTCTCTTGTCATGGGAAGAAAACCGAACTCACACGCAGAATCCCCACTCATCTCCTGCCTTTTTAAACGGCTGATCAACGGTTGGAGGGCATACCCCCAAAATAGACTTTTAGCCATTTTCTGCTGGAAAACCATTAAATGTAAGGTTGCTTGGAACAAGGCCTCCTTGAAGATGCAGGGCCTAGAAGCCGCTGTGGACTGTTCCACGGTCACAGCATGCACCATGGCAGGGCGCAGCAGGGGCCAGGAGGGCAGGGGAGGGGCTAAGCGACGTTCCGGGCGCGCCAGGACCAGAACGCCAGGCAACGCCAGGCTCTGAGGTTCCGTCCAGGTACCGCTGCAGGGCTGTGCCCTGTGCTTCTCCCAGAGCACAGAGGCAGGACAGAGGAGGGTGGTGTGAGCAGGCGACACAGACAACGAAGGAAGAGGGGATGAGGAGTCTACTTGATACAGTGCAGCATCCAAATGAGGGAACAAAAACCCGAAGGGAAATATTTGGATGTAGGGAATCCAACTTGTGGTGTTTTTCACTCCTAGGTTGGAACGGGACAAAGGAAAGATTCTTCTAGCCGTGGTTGTAGAATAATAATCTAGAACCTATACTCTTGTCTGTTGTGATAGTTTGAGTCCTGAAAATACCTGTTCACAGGGGCCTATTAAAAAAGCCTGAGGAGTTCGAGTCTCTCTGAAATCCTCTCAGTCTAGTTCAGGCCACGAGGGGATATAAAACCTCTGCAAGGAGCCTTCCAGAAGGCGCTCCATCCACAAGGACAGCTTGCTCAGTTTTCCTTTGATGGGCCTGGATCCCAGGCCACAGGATGATTTCCCTCGAGAGTCACTCAGATGCAGGGAAGAGTCAAGATCACCGCATGACCCCATGGCTTCCTCCTCTTCCACTGTTTTTTGGGGCTTGAAAAGGCAGAAGTATTTCTTGTGGCCATTGAGAGCCAGGACATAACCAGTGTAGTCACGTTCCATGAAATGCTTGTCGTACTGGTTTGGAATTGGGGCTGCATCTTGAGCAAACTCTAGTAAGTATTCCAGCCACTCTCTGTGCTTATCTAGGCTCAGGAAGGAGAAGTGCAGGCAGCTGCTCCTGAAGGAAGAACAGAGCAAAGATTTAGGGTACAGCCTGGCACACTTAATTGTTGGGAACATAAGTGCCTCAGTCAGCTTTCAAGTAACAGAGAAGGGCTGTGTGTTGGGTGGGGTCCGAGCAGAAAGATGGAAGGGCTTCTGTGGGGCTTGGAGGGCTCTGCTCACCTACCTCCTGGTCCCCGGCTGGGTGTCACTTACACCACTCTCAGTATCTGGCTTCAGGAAAATACACAAATGCTAGGGAACAGTTTCCTGAAAAGGCTCAAGGAAGAAGACTGAGTTCAACCTCTTCTGCTCAGAATCATCAGGACATGAAGTCAAGGTGGGGCAAAGGTCCGCTCGTGATGGCTTAGATTTCTGGGTTGGAAAGGTCACAGCCAACATCTCGCTACATGGATAAAGCCTTTCATGCAAAGAGGGGATATCATTTTCCTCTAGTCCCCTCTTTACCTGAATATGCACGCTCTCTCCCTCTCCTTCCCTCCCTCCCTCCCTCCACCTCTCCCTCCCTCCCTCTCTCTCTCTCTCTCTCTCTCACACACACACACACACACACACACGTGTGAGCTCACCCAGTGAATGTGTAGACCTCTAAAGCGAATTTCTGTAGTAGGCTGGTCTTGGTGGAGTTTGATAGGATGAGGACGACGTTCATGTGGCCTGGCCTCAGGCGCACCAAGTTACTGGTGTATGTCACGTCTGTGAGTTCAGTTACCTCCACAAAGCCTTTTTTAGGAATCTTGCTGTGGGCAAATAGTGAGGAATTAAGATGCTATCAGGATAGGGGAATACTATTATTTTTAAAACGTACAAGTGGAAAAAAATGCTATGTTCTAACCAGACTAGATGTTATTTGACATTCTCGATCCTGATACACGGGCAGGATGGGCTAGTCCCTCCTTGGAAGTCTTGGGCTGACATAGAACCTTTCAGATGCTGCAGAGAAGTGGCTTCAGGGCAGGACGAAGTTGACACAGTTGAAGTGACATAGCCTTCTCTGCTTCTGGCTCAGCTAGCATCTCTTTGACATGCTTTGCTTCCCACCCTCATTATTAAACTGCAGAGTGAGAACCCAAAGGTACCAAGTAGGAGATAAACAGGTGCTGCGTCTAAATGCCTAGAGGGTCTCAGTTATCACTAATCCGCAGCTGACTTCCTACACCTGCAGCTCCCACGCAGGGAGGTGGGCCGGAGCGCTCAACACACTGTATATCAAACTGCTTTACTAGACTATGTGGTCTGTGGGTCTCCTGCTGAGGGGAGGTGGGTTTGGCGTTTTGTTAGAGAAACCTGCTGTTTTCTCTGGTGAAGCTTGGCTCGGCCTTCCCCGCCTTCTCATGGGCTTCCTCTTTATCCGGAGGGTTTGACTCACGCTCATCATTCGAGTCACTAAAGTAAGAAAAAAAGAGTTTTACAAAAAAACAAAAAAAAGAGTAGAAACAACCATGAAGGTTGGGGCTCAGCCTTCGGAAACCGGCCCGAGAAGCCCCACGGGCCTACCTGAAAGCCTGAATGAGGACGGTGCCGAAGAGGATGAACAGGGCAGAGAAGACCAGGGACAGGAGGGGCATCATTTCCCGCCTGAAACGAGTGAACAAATTCGGGTCAGCGCTAGAAGGGCTGCTGTGATGTGTCAAGCAGTGGCCTTAGGTTTCTTCAGTCTGGCTTAATACAAAACAACCAAAAAGCTCCCGTTGAAAATTCCCAAATAGAAAAGTTTTTGTACCAACGAACACTTTCTAATTTCATACACAGGGGTTTTTGGGGGTGGAAACGAGGAAAGCAGAGATTTTTCTCTCATTGTTCTAATTCACAGATCACTTATTCTCAAAGTTCGATGTTGTGTCTCAGCGTAATAGGCTGTGCTTAATAAATTCTGCAGGAGAAAACAGTAAGAGGAGCAATAATGGATTTACGTTGTGAACATGGAAGAACATTCTGATGTCTGCTGTCAAGGACTAAGAAGTCTGTGCTATTGTACAGCACGGAGAAGACAATGACTCTCCAACATCTTACTATGCTGACAGACAGCGACTGCAGTGGCGGGGGTGAGGACTTGGTAATATGGGTGAATGTTGAAACCACTGTGTTGTTTATGTGAAACCATCATAAGATTATATATCAATGATACTTTAATAAAAAAAAAAAGAGTCTGTGCTATTATTTCCTTTGTTTTAATTGGTTTTTTTTGGCTAGAATAATTAAGAGACGGCCCAGAGGGGTTGGAGTAGGGAGAAAAAGTTGACCTTTCACAATTTCCTCTAGGACTTGTGCTCTAAAAAAATTTTATCTACCCACAAACTCATCAAAGGCCTGCCATTTCCAAAAAGGAGCTATGCTGGGTGCCAAGCATCACAACCATGAATGAGATGTGTTTCTGTCCTTCAGGAGCCGACATTCTTACTGGGGGTGGGAGTGGGATATCCGCCCTCTCTGATTAATCCACTGACTGGCTTGTGCATCTATACACTAGGCCCCCCATGTGTTAGGCCCTGGGCTGGGTACCAGAGGTGCCCTGATGAAGAGGACAATCCCAGGCCCTGCACTCTGGAAGGGGAGCAGAAAAAAAGTGAAGATACTGAAAGACAGAGAAAGGGGAACCGCTGTTGAAAATGTATAAACATTCTCCCACGTGCCCTCATTGAGTATATACTGAACTCAAAGGATAGACTCGTTTCAAAAGAAACACAGTGGATCTGCTATTAATGGAGAAACAGAAATTCAATCTAGTAATATTCTTACCAGTTGTTATGAAATAAGCTATCCCAGCAGTCTGAGATGTAGTCAGAGGCAGAGTAGAGCCACCGAAGGAGAAAAACCTATTGAGAGAGAAAAAGAGACGGTGGTCAGGACTGAACCCCTGAGTCCGGGGGAAGAAGTCCTCGCCCCTGACACAGCGCTGTCGCCAACCTCGTCTCAGGCTCTGCGAGCTCAGGAGCCCTGCCTGGTGCCCACTCTCCTGGGCCACATGCTTACAGGGGCAAGTTCATCGGTCAAGTCGGGGAGCACAGCCTCTGAGGACAGGAGGGCAGGGTCTTTGCGCAGCTGGTGGAGAAAACCCAGAAGGATGAACTTATCGCTCTCGCTCCCGGTCCAGGGATCCTCCAGGGTTCTGTACACCACCCTTCCCGCTGTGTTGCGCCTCTCTAAGATGGACACCTTGACGGAAAAGAGAGAAAACCATTTAAGTCTCAAAAGAATGGTAAGCTACTTTTGTTGGTTTTTTTTTTCAGGGAGGATGGAAAAAAGGGTCTAGTGAAGTCAAGAATATGCTCAGTGGAAGAGTATACAATATCTACAAGAGATTTACATTGTTCTGACAAAAGACATTATTTGTATGGTGATTTCCCAAAGCATCTATTAAAAGTTAAAGCTCTTTCTTCTCAGTAGACTTTGTTCTATAACCTCTGACTTACTATTTATAAATAAAGGAAACCTTTGTTTTTTAGAGATTTTCCATGATTACCAAAATGATGAAAAAGAGAAGAATTTTATGCTTCTGAGTATACAGAGTGATGAGAGAGGAGGGAAGGAAGGAGAGGGCAACTGGGGGAGGCGAAAGAGGCAGATGGCGAGGAGGGCGGAACCGCAAAGCGGACTGTCAGCAGCCTAAGAAAGATTTTACAAACTAGGTATCACAAGATCAAACCTGCTGGGGGAAAATCTGCTGAAAGAACAGATGCTCTTTAATCCTTACTCACAGGAAAGATGCTTTCTGGGATGGCCTAAGGCTGAAAATCTAGGATGCGAACTCACTAGGGTAAGAGACTGTTTTAAGAGTAGACTTTCAAAACAGGCTTGGGGATTCCTTGGCTTTCTGGTCTTGGTATTCAGAACTCCCAAGAAAGAAGGGAACAGATTTAAATGCCACGTGCTTTGTGAAGAGCTTGGGATGAGAGAGAATCCGTGACTCACCGCTGATTTTCCTTGAAACGAATCGCTGTCTGGTAGTAAGGTCTTGGCAAACTCCTGCTGCCGACTGCTGTAGATGTGCACGAATCTCACTGTGTCTTGTGTGTTTGCCAGGGCAAATGACAGGAATGCCTCAAAGGGTTTACTCGACTTGGTAGCCTCGGCAGTCAGTAAAACCACACAGTACCTGCACAACAACAGAGAGGACTTTATAACCAAGCCCCAGGCCAAGGCTAGAACCTCTAATGCCAAGTGAGGGTGAAGAAGAGGGATGCTGGTCTCACAGAAGTGAATGCGTTTACTGGTGAATGCTGTGTGTTGGAAGAATCTAATGAAAGATTTCCAAGTCATTAATGACCTGCTTCTCTTCCAGATTGGTGATGGTTTCCCCAAACCAAACTTCACCACATTCAGGAATTTCTTTTACAGCGATGGCCATTGGGTCCCTGATGCAGAAGGGCTTTCAGGAGCCACGTGTTCTGGTTCTTCCACTACAGGCAGGCAGGTCGAGTCTATCTCAGGGGCCTCTGAGCCTCCTTCCAGGGGGCTTCCTTTGCAGTGGTTCCAAAGGGAAGTTAGGCGATCCTTTGTTTACTCCCAAGTAACTGCTGAGTACTTACTACCTACCAGGGAAGACAAGACGGACAACACTCCTGCCCTGTGGAACTTATATTCCCGTGGGGACAGGCAAGAGAAGAGATATATCACAGCAAGTAGTGACAAATGTTACGACAAAGAATGAAGAGAAGGGTAGAGAGTACAAGATACAGGAGCCACGCTTCAGGAGACAGGCTGAGCAGGGACCTGAATGAAGTGCGCCCGAGAGGAAATGGGTCAGAGCCTTCCAGGCGGAGGGAACTGCAGGTGCAAAAACCTGCGATGGAGAGTGACTTGGCCCAACTCGTGGTTTCAGAAAGATCACCAGCCGATGTGTGGAGGACTGACTGGAAGGTACACGAGTGGAAAGGAAGCCGAGTCTGGTTAGAAGGCTAACTTGGGGGTCTTGATAAGAGGCGACAGTGGCTTGTTCTAGGGTGGCACTGGTAAAAAAGGTGAGAAGTGCATAGATTTGGGGTATTTTTGAAGGCGGTGTAAGCAACAATCCTTAGAGTCCAGGATATTCTTCTTCATATCTGATTAAAGTCTGTCTTCTCTCTTAGTATATAAATTTAGGAAACTGTAAAGTCTGGAAACACAGGGAAATGTTCTCATTTTAAAGAAAACCTTAGTTATATTTTCAAATAATATGACCAATGTTTTTCTTCCACATCCAGACACCTTTCACAGATGAAATAGCTCTAAATTCAAGGCCACTGATTCAGAATATGACAGAGGTATAATAAATATTTTCCTGTATTTCCAGACTTTACAGATACTCCGTATGAGGAAGTATGCCACAGCCTTCCCATTTCCAGCTAATTATTTTAGTATCTCTTCCGTATCCTACATTTCCCTGTTGTTTAGTCCTTATCCCAGTTCCTCTCCAAGACTCTCTACGACCTCCAAAGACTCGCCGTGTGTGGAATTCTCTCATTGGAATAGTAACCCTCTGTACTTCATGCTTCTTAAAAGTGACCCTATCTCTCCTGACTCCTTGCTAAAGTCTACTCATCCCTCAGGTCTCAGCTAAAGTGTTACATCTTAGGGAGCTCTCTGACCCCTAGGCCAGGCCGACACATCCCATAATTTGGACCTATGACCCCTGGATAATAGCCATCATTCAGTATTTGTTACATAAAGAATGAGCCACAGGGCAGATGTTTAATCACCCTGCAGCACAATGTGCAATGGCTTCTCCACCGCAGTGACAAGCCCAGGCAAAGCCTGGAGTCCTTACTTCCTCTGTCGGTGAGACCGTTTCACAGGGCAGAGTTCATGGAACAACTTCTGGCTGGTGAGCCTGGCTACCAATAGATACTTGTTTTGGGTGATGAATTCATCAATGACTTGTTTCTTCATACCTCGGGCCTGGAGAAAAACCAAGAAACAGTAGACTTTTATTCAGTTTTCTCACTGCAAATGGGTTTTGCTTACAAGATCAAAATATATTGACCACAATAAAAATGTGGCTGATGCTGGTTAAGCAATATAACAAAATCAGACAGACCTGTTTGAGCAAATAAACATGTTGTGATCGAGTTCAACAACACAGGGCTGAAAGCAATGATACAGTTATTTCAGGTCAAAGGACAATCAAGTGGTCTTTCCATGGAGAACTTTGTATACTGTTTTATGCTGCCAGATTTAAAAAGTTTTGAATTTTAGGCAAAATTGACTTCCATTTAATATCTGTAGGAAACTGAACAATTAAAAATAAACCCCAAAGTAACAAAGTTACTAAGTTTAAAAAGCAGACTATAAAACGGGATGGTGATGACTGTTATTATGAGCTTTTATACATTTTGAAGGATTGAGGTTATATATAGCAGGGTCTCTGGCCACAACCTAGAAATCTATCTAAAATGTAAGCCAGAAAACCCCTTTAAATTAGGAAACACACTTTGAATAATCTGTTGCGTGAAGAAGGAAGCATATTAGGATATTAGAAAATATTTTGAATTTGAATGACTAATGAAATACTACTTATCAAAACTTTGGGATGTCGGTAAAGGAGTATCTGGACAGTGATGTTAAAATGAATACAACAGAAAATAAATTAGTGAACTAGACATCCATATCAATAAGTTAAAAAGAAATAGCAAAAATATAAAAGTAGAAAGAAGGAAATAATAAAGATAAAAACAGAAACAAGGAATGAACAAAGCCAAAACGGGTTCTTTGGAAGAGCTAAAAATACTGACAAACCTCTGGTAAAACCAATCATGAAAATGAGAGAGAAGGTGCAAACAACTGATACCGAGGATGGCAAGGAGGATCACTGTGTTGGGGAAGTTACAAAGAAAGTTAACTTTGAAAACTTAGATGAAATAAAACAATTTCTAGAAAAATATAGCAATATCTGGAAAAGGTAGAAAAGTTAAATTGTTCTATAACCAAACAAGGTGAATCAAGGAGTCAAAAATCTTTCAAACGGGGATCACACCCAACTCATGTCATGATGCAAAACCTCTCATGGACATCATGAGGAAGAGAAGTCACACGTCAATCTCATTTTTGAACATAAATGCAAAAATCCCAAGGAAAATGTTAGCAAACTGAATCCAGAAATATACCAAAAGTGTAATGTAAATCATGATTCTTGTTGTACTTATCTCATGAATGCAAGTTAACATTAGCAAATAAATTAGTATGATTTAGCACATTATAGAAGATTAAGGACTAAAGAAGAAAAATCAGGATAATCTCAATGAATGTGGAAAAAGGCATTTAATAAAAATCAGCACCATTCATGTTAGCAATGAATAGAAAGGAATTTCTTTAATCTGATAAAGAGTTATCTGTAAGTATAAAGCCTTCTGCAAACCTCATAGTTATTGGGGAAACGGAGATCAAGAACAAGGGTGCCCTCCATCACTGCATTTCTATTCCATGCCACACCAGAGGTCAGTATTAAGAAAAAGAAATAAAATAAAGGCTGGAAAAAGGAGAAGCAAGATTGTCCTTAATCTCAGATGACATGATTGTGTACTTCGCAAATCCTAAAGATGGTACAGATAAATTATTTAAGTCAAAAAGAGAGTTTGGCAAGATTATTGGATAGACAGTTAATATTTCAGAATTAATTGTATTACTTAATCCCAGCATACAGAAGGTACAGTAAAAAAGATACCGTTTGCAATAGTACAAAAAATGAGGTACCCAGAAATAGACTGGAAAAAAAAAGTTTTTTAAGTCCTAAAACCTTATTGAGACATATTGCAGAAGGCCTAAACATATGAGACCAATCTATGATGTTCACAGGTTGGAAGGCTTTACTTTGTCAAGATGTCTCTTCTCCTCACACTAATTTAAGAATCAGTACAAAACCAATAAAACCCCAACAAATTTTTTTTTTGTTTGACAGAACCTGACAAACAGAATTTACAGTGTATAGAAAAAGGCCAAGAATAGCCAAGATACTTTCAAAGAAGCCCTCCACCCCTCAAAATCCAAAAATCAAAGTGAGAGAATTTGCTCTATCAGGTATCAAGCTATTTCCAGATGGTGTATACCTAAATATAAAAGGCAAAACTATAACACTTTTAGAAGCTCCATGAGTAGAATATCTTCATTATCTTGGTGTAGGGAAAGGTGTCTTAAATCAAGAGCAAAAAGAACTAATCATGAAGGAAAATGTTGACATGAGTAAATATATTAAAAGTAAGAACTTATGTTCATCAAAACATACCAAGTACAAGAATACAGTCAACTAGTCAAATAACCAAAAAGTGAAAAGACCCAAATGTCTGTCAATAGCACACTGGGGACAGATACACTGTTGCATATTCATGCCAAATGACACAGACAATATGCATGAACTTCACAAACACAAGCTGACAGAAGCCAGAGACACCATACAATTCCATTTGCACAAAATTAAAAAACAGGCAAAACTAATCTACAGTATGAGAAAACAGGACAGTGCTGACCTTTGGGAAGGAGGGGAAGTGGTTGGGAGGGAAGAAGAGGGGACCTTTTTGGGGTATTGACATCTTATTTCTGGACCCAAGTGATGCTAACATGGGTGTATTCACTTTGTGGTAATTCAGTGAGCTCTACACTACCGGTATGTACACCATTCTACATCTGTATCACACTCAAATAAATAATTTAAAATGGGGGTGGGTACCGTAGAAAGAATGGTAAGACCAGCTACAGAATGCATGACGATGTTTGCCACACATACAAATAAGATACTTAAAAATAGGTAAGACCATGTAAATAACTAGTTATAACTCATTAATAAAAAGGCAGATGGACAACAGAAAAAAATGGACTAAAGACTTGACGGGTATGTCACAAAAGGGGAAATCCAAAAGGTCCACATGTAGATGAAAGGATGCTCGGCTTCCTTGTGATGAAGGGAAACACTAGCAGGGTCACAATGAGACACTATTACGTAGACAGTCAACTCAGAAAAGTTACAGTGCGTGAGTGTTGGCAAGGATGTAGAGCAATGGAACTTCCGTGCATGACTGGCGGAAATGTAAACTGGCACCATCACCTTGGAAAGCACAGTATCTAAAAAAGCTGAAGATTTGCATACACCAGGACCCAGCAATTTTGCAACTAGATATACCCTAGATCAACAGTTCCCATATTGTTTGGTCTCAGACTGAGAAACCCAGAGAGCTGCTGTTTATGTGGCTTTTTTCTAATTTTTAATTTTTAATTTTTTAATTTTGGTATCATCAATCTACAGTTACATGAGGAACATTATGTTTACTAGACTCCCCCCATTATCAAGTCTCCCCCACATACCCCACTACAGTCACTGTCCATGAGCACAGCAAGATGCCAAAGAATCACCACTTGTCCTCTCTGTGTTTATGTGGCTTTTACCTATTGATATTTATTAGATATAAATCAAAAGAGAAATCCAAAATAGAGTGAGTCCTTTAAAAATAATAATGAACCTACAAATGTTAACAAAAGTAACATTATTAAATGAAAAAAAAATCCTTTCTAAAACCAAAAATTTTCAGTGAGGAGGGTAGTACTGCCTCCCATTTACACAAATCCCTTCAAGGTCTGGTGGCTTCATAGCAGAGACAGGTGGGGTGTCCTATCTGCCTCTGCATGCAACCTGCAGTGACGTATTTTGGTTGAAAAATCTAGCCTCATATAGATACACACTGGAGAAGGGAGGTTTATATTCATAGCTTTTTGAGATAACTGTGGATATTCTTTGCCACTACACCAAAACTCGATGAATGGCATTTCTTAAAGGTTGCTCTGTGGATTCAATGAACTTTTAATACTTTGTTAAATAAAAATTCACTGATCACCTTGCACCCAGAATGGATCATTTTAGTCATGCACACTTTTGTATTATCATGCGTCGGTCATTTGGAAAATTCTGGTTCACTGATCTTCCAAATGTTGGCAAATTTTATCACATATATATGTGATATATATATATAGCACCTCATTGATGAACTAATCTCATCAGAAAGTTTTGAGAAGCTGTCAAGCTCCTAATAGCTGATACTAATTTTTAAAAATTCTTATTTTCTTGGAAGCCTGAATTTTGTCATTGGCAACAAAAACCACCAGTTGTTTCCCTTAAAGTGCCGGCCTCACTCCATTCATTTTTGCAAAAATGTCTGCCAGATACCCTAGTCTGAATGCCCACAGTCCCGTCAGTTATTCTTTGAAGTTCCACTCAAAAAAGTGGCTAGCTCGAAATTCACGAGTTCAGCAGTCACACAAACGCTTGTCCTCAAGACACTCTGTACTCAGGCGTGCGGCACAAGTGCTTGATACAGCGTCCCATTTTGCCATACCAAGTATTAAAGTACTGTAAAGACGTGCCCTCAAGGGTCTTTATCAGTACAATTAATACTTCTTACAGCTTCACAAGGGAATTACGGGAAATGACGCTGCTCTGTTTTCATGGCAAGTGCTCAGGACTGAAAAACACACCCTGGCGGTACCTGCTGCCTGCCCCTTGGTTTATGCGCTTGCTTCTGCGCTGGTAGTTCTGCCCGCCATGACTTTGTGCCATCAGCGGTGTCAACACAGAGAAAGAGGACAGATTATGTCTTGGAGACTGATCTCACAGACTCCCTTAAAGGGTCTTTGGGACCCCGGTGCGCGTGTGGTTCGCCAGGAGTGTGAACCGCATTCTGAGAGCTGCTGGAGAAACGTGTGCTCAGATACACCGGGACCCGCGATGTTCATGGCGACACCACTCCGGCGTCCCAAATGTCCATCAACAGAAGAATGAATAAGCAAATTATAATGTGGCCATAAATACTACATAGCAAATGAGGACAAATTGGCTACAGCTCCATGAAGCAACTGGTGCTTGGTGTCACACTAAGCTACTTGCTGTTGGGGAACACATTTATTTTTTCTGTCTGGAAAGAACACATTAATAAAGTATCTGTTGTACTAGTAATTTAGTAAATGTATTTGATTTACAATTTTCATCATCTCAAAAGAAAACTCTACTCATTGAGTGGCCACTTTTGGGAAGTTTAGTGTTGATCTCTTTGATTAGAAGAAGCTCTTTAGAAATTAAAGATAACAATATTTTCTATGTTGGTTGTAAATACTTCCCCAGATTGTTGTTTAACTTAAAATTTTTAAAGTACCTATATTAAGATTTTAAACTTACAATCAAGTTCAGATTTTTCAACAAGATTTTTTCCAAAAGCTTTTAGCCCTTCTCTACTTAAGATCAGATAAATATTCAATTATATACTCTGAGTTAGTTCATGGGTTTTTTTTTAACATTCCTTTTTAGTGTTTTATACTTAAATTTATTTTGTAGTTTATTTTAGAGTTAAGATTATTGATTTTCTACAGGTGCACTTTACAGGTAAAAGGTTATACACAGCATAGGATTTGCCATTTTAACCATTACCAGGTGTGTAATTCTGCGGCATTAAGTACATTCATTTTCTGCAACATCACCACCATCCAAGTCTTTCTCCCCTTCCTGGACTGACACTGTCTCCATTAAACACTAACTCCCTATTTCCCCCCTCCCCCAGCCTCTGGCAACCACCATTCTACTTTCTGTCACAAGACTATTTTTGAAGCAAAACGGTGCCAACTCAGATGAAAAACTGGTTTTTAAATGTTGTGCCTCTGAAAGCAGAAACTAAAACTAATCTCTTCTCTTGACTTGCTTTGTTACATTTTGCTTTTAAAAAATAGTCTTGTGAGAGAAAGTCTTGACAACAAATTTATTCATTCCTCTTATTTATATGGAAAGCAAGATGCCAAAGAATCACCACTTGTCCTCTCTGTGTTTATGTGGCTTTTACCTATTGATATTTATTAGATATAAATCAAAAGAGAAATCCAAAATAGAGTGAGTCCTTTAAAAATAATAATGAACCTACAAATGTTAACAAAAGTAACATTATTAAATGAAAAAAAAATCCTTTCTAAAACCAAAAATTTTCAGTGAGGAGGGTAGTACTGCCTCCCATTTACACAAATCCGTTCAAGGTCTGGTGGCTTCATAGCAGAGACAGGTGGGGTGTCCTATCTGCCTCTGCATGCAACCTGCAGTGATGTATTTTGGTTGAAAAATCTAGCCTCACATAGATACACACTGGAGAAGGGAGGTTTATTTTCATAGCTTTTTGAGATAACTGTGGATATTCTTTGCCACTACACCAAAACTCGATGAATGGCATTTCTTAAAGGTTGCTCTGTGGATTCAATGAACTTTTAATACTTTGTTAAATAAAAATTCACTGATCACCTTGCACCCAGAATGGATCATTTTAGTCATGCACACTTTTGTATTATCATGCGTCGGTCATTTGGAAAATTCTGGTTCACTGATCTTCCAAATGTTGGCAAATTTTATCACATATATATGTGATATATATATATAGCACCTCATTGATGAACTAATCTCATCAGAAAGTTTTGAGAAGCTGTCAAGCTCCTAATAGCTGATACTAATTTTTAAAAATTCTTATTTTCTTGGAAGCCTGAATTTTGTCATTGGCAACAAAAACCACCAGTTGTTTCCCTTAAAGTGCCGGCCTCACTCCATTCATTTTTGCAAAAATGTCTGCCAGATACCCTAGTCTGAATGCCCACAGTCCCGTCAGTTATTCTTTGAAGTTCCACTCAAAAAAGTGGCTAGCTCGAAATTCACGAGTTCAGCAGTCACACAAACGCTTGTCCTCAAGACACTCTGTACTCAGGCGTGCGGCACAAGTGCTTGATACAGCGTCCCATTTTGCCATACCAAGTATTAAAGTACTGTAAAGACGTGCCCTCAAGGGTCTTTATCAGTACAATTAATACTTCTTACAGCTTCACAAGGGAATTACGGGAAATGACGCTGCTCTGTTTTCATGGCAAGTGCTCAGGACTGAAAAACACACCCTGGCGGTACCTGCTGCCTGCCCCTTGGTTTATGCGCTTGCTTCTGCGCTGGTAGTTCTGCCCGCCATGACTTTGTGCCATCAGCGGTGTCAACACAGAGAAAGAGGACAGATTATGTCTTGGAGACTGATCTCACAGACTCCCTTAAAGGGTCTTTGGGACCCCGGTGCGCGTGTGGTTCGCCAAGAGTGTGAACCGCATTCTGAGAGCTGCTGGAGAAACGTGTGCTCAGATACACCGGGACCCGCGATGTTCATGGCGACACCACTCCGGCGTCCCAAATGTCCATCAACAGAAGAATGAATAAGCAAATTATAATGTGGCCATAAATACTACATAGCAAATGAGGACAAATTGGCTACAGCTCCATGAAGCAACTGGTGCTTGGTGTCACACTAAGCTACTTGCTGTTGGGGAACACATTTATTTTTTCTGTCTGGAAAGAACACATTAATAAAGTATCTGTTGTACTAGTAATTTAGTAAATGTATTTGATTTACAATTTTCATCATCTCAAAAGAAAACTCTACTCATTGAGTGGCCACTTTTGGGAAGTTTAGTGTTGATCTCTTTGATTAGAAGAAGCTCTTTAGAAATTAAAGATAACAATATTTTCTATGTTGGTTGTAAATACTTCCCCAGATTGTTGTTTAACTTAAAATTTTTAAAGTACCTATATTAAGATTTTAAACTTACAATCAAGTTCAGATTTTTCAACAAGATTTTTTCCCAAAGCTTTTAGCCCTTCTCTACTTAAGATCAGATAAATATTCAATTATATACTCTGAGTTAGTTCATGGTTTTTTTTTTAACATTCCTTTTTAGTGTTTTATACTTAAATTTATTTTGTAGTTTATTTTAGAGTTAAGATTATTGATTTTCTACAGGTGCACTTTACAGGTAAAAGGTTATACACAGCATAGGATTTGCCATTTTAACCATTACCAGGTGTGTAATTCTGCGGCATTAAGTACATTCATTTTCTGCAGCATCACCACCATCCAAGTCTTTCTCCCCTTCCTGGACTGACACTGTCTCCATTAAACACTAACTCCCTATTTCCCCCCTCCCCCAGCCTCTGGCAACCACCATTCTACTTTCTGTCACAAGACTATTTTTGAAGCAAAACGGTGCCAACTCAGATGAAAAACTGGTTTTTAAATGTTGTGCCTCTGAAAGCAGAAACTAAAACTAATCTCTTCTCTTGACTTGCTTTGTTTCATTTTGCTTTTAAAAAATAGTCTTGTGAGAGAAAGTCTTGACAACAAATTTATTCATTCCTCTTATTTATATGGAGGCCGAGATAAAATGTGACATACCTGGAGAGCACCTGCAGGCTTGTTTGTGTGTTCTTTAAAGACCAAGATGGTGGGGGTGTAGGCGTTGACGTTGTATTGCCTCGTCATCTCTTCTGCCCCTCTCAAACCGACATACACATATCCAAACGACAAATAATCCTTGTATGCAAAAGCAGTTAACTGTTAGGGCATAATAGAGAGAATAAATTAAATTGATAGCATGGCATCAAAATTACAAATCAAGTGTGACCTCTTCAAATCAGTGATCAGTGGGTGGGGACGTGCGCTAGCTTATACAGCTAACTTGGGCCTGCCAGACCCTGTACACTTGCAGAACTTCTATAGCATGCCATGCATGAAAATTGCACCCACAAATTGAACCTGAACCCACAACTAATTTTTTCCCCACAGATAATGCAAACTATTCCTTTTACTGAGACCTGTACTGGTTTGGAAGCATGGAGTCTGAGGAATTAGCTGTACCCCAATTACGGAAGATGGCAGTGACCGTGCCAATGGTTCAGCAGGACCCTTTCCTCTCCTATCTCATGTCACAGTGCTAACCAGAGATGTGCCAGTGGTGTGAGTGTAGGCATCATCCAGCGGGCAGGTTTGGAATCAGACAGGCTTCAAAGGGAACTGCATAGTCAACCATGCTGATGGGAGACTTTGGGTAGGTCATACAACCATGCTAAGCTTCAGCATCTTGGCCTACAACACAGGGATAATATCCGTATCTTTGGGCTCTTCTGAAGATTTAATGCTGTTATGTGTGTGGAAAGTACTAGCACAGTAACAGCATCACTGTGCAGGGGCTCAGGCAAATTTATGGTCTTTAGACATATCTCATCAACTAAGCTATTACTTGAAAAAAGGACAATCAATCAGGATACAAGTTCTTTCCACCAAAAGTAGAGAAAGCATTACCCCAGAAGAAAATACCTTGTACAGCAGTGGTACAGTGGGCATTTGGTCAAACAGAAGGACATGAGGTTTATTCTCTTGCTGCCAGCCAGAGAGGAATCTGACATAATTTTTATTTGTAACCTTAAATTAAAAAGAAGATGTTAGTTTCAATATTTTTTTTCTCAACAACTGTATTATAATCCAGTCAGGAAATAATCAAACAAAGTCAAATATGTGTAAAAGATTGTTTTGTAAGAAAGAAAAAAAATGCAGACAACTAATCTTCTGCCTTCATTTGACTAAAACTATTTAAAATAATAGTTTTATTGGAAATTTTTATGGTAGTTCAAGAAAGTTTATCTTTCCATTCTGCTTCCAGAATGATCTACATGAAACCTAAATCTGATCATGTTGCTCCTCTGCTCAACCCTCTTCAATGGCTCAGTCACCTGCAGGCCAAGGCCCAAGTTTCATAAAGGGGTGTCAAGGCCTCCTGAGGCCCTTGCAGCAAGATTCCTGTTAACCCCTAATCGTGTCCTCCCCTGCTCCCTACTGACTACTTCATACAAGGTAGGCTGTTACATGTCCCAGACCTCTGCCTGCCTAGAACTCACTCCCTACTTACTCTCTCCTCACCTGGCAAACATGTCTAGGGGTCATTTCTGCCAGGAAGCCTTTCCCAGCTCTCTAGGACAGGTTCTCAACGTAATGGATGGAAACGATCACGCATGAGACTGAGAGCTCTTTGGAAAGTGCCCTCATTCGTATCATAGTGCCTGGCATAGGAGATATTTTATAAATGCTTGTGGACCTGTCAGAACGACTCATCACTGTTTTAGGAGCCTACAATGCTGACAATTTGCTTTCGGGTTAATGCCAACAAATATTTCTTCTGTGGATAATGATCCTGGAAGAACAGTCTATGAATAGCGTGTAGAAATATGATGGAAATGCCTGTATGTTCACCCTCCCTGGTATTGTTAAAGGAATGAAACGTTTAAAGCAAAACAGGAATCCTGTTCTAGTTCTGATAATTCCTAACCAAAAATGCTGGGGGGAAAAATCCTTCTTAATAAAAATTGTAAACCAGTATGAACTCTGTACCTGGTTTCTTTAGATCAATCTTTTGTTTGTGAAATACATATTGCTGTCTTACTGTGAGTTCTGAAAGTTCCAAAAATAATGTTTGATTTAATGGAATTTTGTGTTTCCTATAGATAGGATCTTTTAATTTGAATAGTTTTAAAAGACAAATACCTTTAAATAAACAAACTCATGTGTTAGAAATAAAATTTTATGTTGTGATCTAACTTTTTGTTCAGAAAATAAAGACTCACTGTCATTTTAGTCTCAGATTCCTATCACAGTGTAAATCTGCACAGTGGTTATTAACAGGGAGGAATGCCTCCAGTCTCTCTACTTTGTTTCAATTTTCAAGTCCCCTAAAGACTTCATTCAAATGATTTAGTTTGAGTAATTAATATGTGTCTTGCCCTGCTCAAAATGAAACTCAGGTCTCCAATGACCACAGACAGAGTTCAGGGCAGTCGGCTGGCCCCAGGACCTCACAAACAACTTCTCAGCCAGGGACTTACTTTCTCCACCAAGTTCCCTGGAAGAAGACTTTCTACAAACTGTCGTAGGTTCTCGCGGACGACGGCATTGTGGAAGAAGGAGATCTTCCCATTTATGATTCCTAGGATAGAGGGTGTACTGTGTGCTCCCAGGTGATGGGCAAGGCGTCTCTCGTACCCAGCATGGACCACGCCAATTCCTACACCTGAAAAATATGCGAGACCTCCATGAAGCCTTTTTATGCCCCCATGGTAGTGGAAGACATGCTGACAAGTAAGAGAAAAAATGAAATCCTGACCTAATAGGAAGGGATGTCTTTCCTAAAGACTGTCTTGCCTTCTTTTGTTGCTGGAATTCTAAACTGGTTGTTTTTCTATAGAGCAATCTGGCAATATTTAAGAAAAGCTACAAATCTTTTTATCTTGCAGCTTGTAATTTCTAATTCTGGGAGTCGTTCATCAGGAAATACTTCAGAAGAAATGAGACCAATCTGTTCACAGTGTTTCTACTCATAAAGAAAAAAACCTGTAAACAATCGAAGGATTCAACTCGGCAATGGTTAAGAAAAAGAAACTTATCTATCGACAGAAATCACAGTCTTCTTACTCTTTGGAACATGGCTCCCTTTTATATAAATTATTTATAGAAATATTAGAAAACACAGATTCTCAAAAGGAGAAAGAAATTAAGTTTAAATCACTCAAAAGTCTTATCCCATATAACTACTGTTAATATTTTATTATCTATTTGTACCTTTTCTTATACAAATACGTGTGTGCGTGAGTGTGAGTGTGTGTGTGTGTGGTATGTGTGTATACACGTGTATGGACAGACCCTGGAAATACTGCAGGTTCAGTTCCAGACCACCTCAATAAAGCAATTATCATAATAAAGCAAGTCCAGTGAATTTGCTGGTTTCCCAGTGCATATAAAAATTGTTTACACTATACTGTACTCTATTAAGGGTGCAATAGCATTATGTCTAAAAAAAAGCATAATACTTTAATTAAAAATACTTTTTTGCTAAAAGATGCTTATCACCTAGGCTTTCTGTGAGTCCTACTTACTGGTCATAGATTGCCATAATAAATATAATAGTAATGAAAATGTTTCAAAATGTGACACAGACAAGACATGAGCAAATGCTGTTGAAAAAATGGTGCCAAAAGACTTGCTTGATGAAGGGTTGCCACAAATCTTCAATTGGTAAAACATGCAATATCTGCTAAGTTCAATAAACCGGGTTGGGTATATATAAAACAAAACAGGAGCATCTGATACTGATTTCACTTAATGCTTGAAGAAGTTTTCTCATTCTTTCATTCAACCAATACATTTAGAGGGCAAGTTACTGTGCTAAACACTGGAGATACATTAAATGTTAATCACCAGTAAATACACATTTTCTCTTGGGTATCTAACAGATTTCTCAAGCTTAACATTTCCAAAATCAAACTCTAATCTCCTTCAGACCTCTTCTACCCAGGCCTCTCCAGTTCCTTGATGGCAGCCCCCCACCTTCCCATTAAGCAGACTGGACATCCCGATCATCTTTGATCTCTTTTATCTCTCACACCCCACATCCAATCTGTCAACCAGTCTGGGTGGTTCTGTCTTCAAAATATACCAAGAACTTGACCGTTTTCCTCCACTTTCCTCTGGGTCATCATTATCTCCTCTCTGGGTTGCTGTAATCACCTCTAATGGTCATAGTTTTGCCTTGTCTCCCTATAATGTGTTTCCAACATACTAGCCAGCTTGTTCCTTCTAAAACAAACAGATCATGTTACTCCTCTGCCTAAACCCTGCAGTGACTCCCATCTCACTCAGCATATAAGCCACAGTCTTCACAAGGCTGACAAGTGATTTGGTCCCCTATGACCTCCTTCCTCTCCTCCTCCTCACGCACCTTGCTTTTAGCAATAAAGTATTTTTAATTAAAGTATTACACCTTTTTTTAGACATGCTATTGCACTCTTAATAGATTACAGCCTCTAGCATCCCTGCTCTTCTCTAAACACACTGGCACGTCCCTGCCTTAGGGCCCTGGTACTGGCTCTTCCCTCTGCCTAACATCTGGGTAGCTGACTCCTTCACCAATTGCAAGTACTTCTCAATGAGGCCTATTTCCTACTATATTTAAAACAATACTCCCCCCGCAACTGCAACCCTCTCAACTGGCTCACTTTCCCTTTCCCCATAGCATTTAACATCTTCTAATATATCACATACTTCATTTTTCTGTTCATTGTTTATTGTCTGTCTTCCCTGCTAGAATGTAAGGCAGGGACCTTTGTATAGTCCATGCATGCTTCCCAAGTCCAGAACAGAGCTTGGCACCCTGCGGAAGCTCACTGAAACTGGGCCATCCATCTATTTAACCAGTTCGTTACTGATGCACATTGAAAATGCTTTTGGCTTTCGCTATTGTAAGGAATACTTTGATGGGCATCCTTGTACATCTTTGTGCACCTGTGTGATTATTTCCTAATTAAATCCCCAAAATGGAATTGCCAAGTAAATGGCAGGGATCACAGACTTAATACTTTCCAATTGCTAAGGGGACAAAACAAATCTATCTGCAGGCTGCCTAACTGTAACCCTTGGAGTTTCTCAAGGGCAGAAAACGAGGACACTTAGACATCACATTGTCCAGTCCCCTCATTTTACAGATGAAAAAAGAGATGCAGAGAGATTCAGTGACCCAAGTTTGCAGAGCTGACAACACTGTAGAACAAGAAACCAAACCAGATGTTCCAGTGCCAAGTGTAGTACAGTATCTATTACACTACAGGTGTTAAAAAATAGCTATGGAAGCATGGTGAAGTCTGATAGTGAGACCGTCTCTTACGTGAGTGGGATTTTATCTTCCATCAGATCCTGTCTCTGTGGGACAATGTCAAACCCATGCTCTTTCTGTGGGCCCCTCCCACCTTTCCTGTGCTCCTATCAGTACAGCCTTCCCGCCAGTTAAAATGGAATACAGCAGGTTTTCTTTCTTTTACTTAAAGTTATCTTTGAGTGCTTGGAACTACATGCATCACCCTTATTACATTTAAGTGTTTCCAAATCTACACAGGCTACTTCCTTGGATCACTTCTACAAATGACTTTGATTCTTAGTATTAGAATCCCATTTCTAAATTCTGAAGGAATGTTACATCTCTCCTATAGGTGAGCCATAATAAGGATGAGAATGGAATCAAGAACAATAAATATTTGGTGTTTAAACTGGTCATATTTTTCCTCCTCAAAAGAGATTTAAGAGTATAATGAGAATTCCAGGCCTAAGCCCTTTCTCACCTGCCACCCAAGCTGGGCAGGCAGAGTATGAAAAGCGGACGGCACCGTTTCCTCCTAAGACACAGGGTGGGAAATGGCCTAGCAACTGGGTAACTCGGGGATTCTGAGTCACAATGAACAAAAGTTGCCACTGTCTCCTCCCCTGCCTTCAGATTCTTTACACTCCAAAGTTCAAGGTTCATAAAGCAAGCTCAGCCAGGCCAATGGCAAGCGAAACTATTCACGTTTTCTCATCTTGATATGGGTAACCTGGCTAGATGACCAATGGACGCACCCAGCACCCAAACGAACTTAAGAAGAAAATTAACAAGAAAGGCAAAGCACACAGTGTTTCTTCAGAAACACTGTTTGGTTTTTATATGAATTGATGATTCTGGCTAATTTGCAGATCCCAGGGAATTAAAAATACTAGTATTTTCTCTTCTTTTTGAGGTCTTAAGTGGGTCTTTTTTCCTGTAAAGTACCAAACATCTGTGTCATACCCCTATTTTGAGGTGTCGAATTGTTTTTGCTTTTGTTTTATACAATCCCATGCATATGACACCTTTTAAGGAAACTCTTTCTTTTCCCCTCTGTAGCACACACACATTGGTTTTTCTTTCAATTTTTGCATATGCCCAAAGGGATGGGACAGAACCAACTGGAAAAACATGCCACCGACAAATCAAATCTGTTAGTAAATTAACTACTAAGATGCAATATAATGTGGAGTAAAACAAAATCAAGGACATGGAGCTAAAGTATAAAAACATCTTGTTTTTTTTTTTTTTTAACAAACGGTATACTTTCCCTAGACAGTATGAAATTTTTACATAGCACTTCCCTGAACAAGAGAAGTTAGTCCTTCTTTGTACATAAGAAGCCTTGGTGCAACATGACATGGGGGGGTGGCTCGGGGAAGGCTGTACAACACAGAGAAGACAAGTAGTGACACTATAGCATCTTACTATGCTGATGGACAGTGACTGTAATGGGGTATGTGGTAGGGACTTGATAATGGGGGAATCTAGTAACTACAATGTTGCTCATGTGTTTTTATATTAATGATATCAAAAAAAAAGAAGCCATGGTGCATAACCACTGCATGATCATTCAAACTGGGTTTCCTTAAAAAGACATTTGATTTCAAGACACTCAACCTCTGTGACCCCCTGGGTGCTGCCCGCACCTTCCAGCGAGCGCTGCAATGGCTCAGGTGTGTCTCTACTTGAGTTTCCTGGGTGCACGGAGCATGCTTTACTTATTTCTGAAGCCGAGCAGCACAGTGGTTAAAAGAGTGAACGCTGGAGTCACACTCCTGGGTCCACGTCCCAACACTGCTGCTTACAAATAATGGGACCTCAATTAGTTCCTTAAACTTCCTGGGCCTCGCTTTCATTATCTGTAAAATAGGGATAAAAATAGTCTCTCCCTCATTGAGTTGCTTTGGGGATAAAGATAATTCCTACAAAGCACTTAGCACAATGCAAAACAACTGAAATGCTCAATAAAACTATTATTATTATGTATATGTTTGTGTATCATATGGTACTTGGTTCCTCAAGAAAAAGTTTTAAATGAGAACATGGAATGAATTCCTTACTGACCTTTAGTCTTGCAGTACTATATTATCCTGACTTGCAAAATGTGAGGTGGGTGACCTCTGATACATATTTTCCCTTCAACTAAACAGTAAGCTCCTCAAGGTCAGGGGCAGTACTATTTCTGGCCCTCCTCTGCAGCACAGTCGTCTATGTTGGATGATTTTGCACACTAGTTATTACCAAATTGCATGACTGTAGATTTCACCTAAATAGTGGCAACATTTCTCCTCCAGGTAGAACTGTCCTATTTTGTTCATATATGGCAATTTAGGCATTTTTTGTTATTCTGAGATAATGTCCAAGCATCGTCAGATTGCTGAGCTGATCTTTAAGACTGCTCTGTCAAGTCAGAAATATTTTCTGCAGTATCTGTCTTAGAGGGTAGTGTTGTCTCCTGTGGATGGGAAATGGCTGTGGATATTGTAAGGATCTCATCTCAGTGTCACCCAACTGTTAGCAAGTGGAACCTGACCGTCAGGAATCTTTAATCCTAAGGGTCCAAAGAGAAAAATGTGTATAAACCAAACTAATCTAATACATTGAGTCAAAACCTGCCTTCCAAGGGCTTGGCGGGTGGAGTGGGGGAATGGATGGAATACTCAGTAAACATTACTTCCATGGATCTAAATCCAGATGCTTCCATCCTTGTCACGCGAGCCCTGACTTATTAGGATTATATAGCACAACAACCCAAAGCGTGGCAAGATCTTCAAACATCAAAGATTTAAGGACGCCAATCACCAACTGGGGGACCTTGACAAGGTGCCAAAAGTGAGCTAAGTACCTGTAAGGGAGGGATGGCAATAGTCCCCGCCTCGGAGCACTGTTGTTTGATATGAATTGATGCTTCTAATAGTCCTGCTTCTAATAGGCATATGCTAAGTTCTCAACAATAGGCATATGCTAAGTTCTCAACAAACATAAGCTATTATTATTATTATTACACTTGCATTTTCATGTCATCACACTACGTCCAAACTATAGCTTTTATTTAGAACCACTTCTCCTCAAATTCAACTCTTCTCTATATTCGCTGCCCATCAAGTAGCTCGAGTCAGAAAGCAGAGTCAATCTTCACCCCCCTCTCTCTCCTCTTTATCTCATTTCTCACATTCAAAGGGTCTCCTGGAGCCAGGTGACTCCAGACCTCCATGATCCTAGCCTGAAATATTCTACACTTGTCCACCTCTCTCTTTCTACTGCCCTAGTCTAGGCCTCTGGTTGTTGTCTTGCCAGGCCTGGTAACGTCCCCGCCTCTATTCTCACCTTCTTCGATCTGTCCTGTTGTCCAGTGTTTCAATCTGCGGTGTTATTTGTTAGCTTTCTAACACACAGATCTGATTAAATCACTCCTCTATGCAAAAACTCCCCTTGGCTTTATTACATGCTATAAAATAAAGTCCAGCGTCCTCCACGTGGACTTCGAGGCTCCTGCCTGGTCCCAGCGTGCTCTTCCTGCTTCCTCTTTTCCCACCTACACCCGAGTCACGCCCCACGGCTGGCTCTTCCGTGGGTGCTGCCCTGCCTGGGCTCTTCCCACTGCCTGCACTGTTACTCCTCCCATGCCTGCCCAGCCAACTTACACCTTTCAGGACTTAGCCAAAAATCAGTCAGAAGTCAGTGCTTGGTAGTCATGAGTTGAAGGAAGTTGATTATTACACTTAAGAAAGATTTTAAAAAGAAGTTCATGAAATAGGTGCTTTCAAAATTTTACTTTGATTATACTTCTGATAAATGCAGTTAATCAGAAATTCCCTAAGATCAACAGCGGCAAGCCAGAACCACCATTGGTTGAATGGTGTCCCCTCCCCCACATCCACGTGGAAGCCCTAACCCCCAGTATTCAGTATTGGAGACAGGGCCTTTAAAGAGGCAATTAAGTTAGAATGGGATTGTTAGAATGGCCCTAATGAAAAATGATTTGTGTCCTTAGGAGAGATTAGGACACAGGAAGAGAGTGAGACACTGGGCACATGCTGGCACAGAGAGCAGGCGGTGTGAGCACAGGGAGAAGGCAGCCACGTGCAAGCTGAGGGGAGACGCCTCGAAGGCTCTTGATCTGCCGACACCTTCACCTTGGACTTCCAACCTCCAGAATTGTCAGAGAGTGAATTTCTCTTGTTTAAACGGCCCAGTCCGTGGCAGTTTGCTGTGGGAGCTCAGACAAACTAACACCGAGTGAAATCACAAATCCCACATGCATAACTTGCAAATCCCACCAGCATTAAACTGATGCTTGAGGGCGGCTGTGTTCAACTAGTAATTTTCAACCTTCTCCTGTGTCTCAGGCCCCCAACTAGACGTGGGGAATCTATATACATGAAGCTTCAAATTAGTAATGCAAAATGTAAGTGGTTGATCCATTTTCCCTAACTGAAAATGTGTCCTTAGAAACACCAGTCACCGTAAACTTGTGAAATCACACTGTTCTTCCTCCACAATATTCCATAAAACTCAAGACATAAAGGTTAGGTTCTCCTATATGTAAACATCTCCCAATGAATAAAATTGTCTTACCCAGTCCTTCCAGTTCTTGAACTACTTCTTTCCAAACAGGCTCGATATGGATGCAGCTAAAGCACCAATCTGAGGTGATCTTAATGAGGTAGGGTTTCCTGAAGCTATCTGGAACCACTTCATTCACATACTGCGAAAAGTGCAGTAAATACTTCTCATCAATGGAGTCCCGCCGCTCGGAGTTAAAAGGGAAGTGAAAAAAAGATTCATCGAAATAAAAGTTTTCGTGGAAATGGCGGAAGCGATACTCTCGCTGCTGGCGCTGCTTCTGGTTCTCCCCAGCATCTCCATAGTGATCGTAATTTGATCTCTTCTCTTCATTGGAAAGAATCTATAGGGAAAGAGGAAAAACAAGAAATCTATAAAATGAAAAGCAGTTCACCCAAAGGACTTTCCTGGAAGCAGCATGGAAGACACAGGGAAAATAAATGCCGACATGACACAATTAGATATTCTACACGCAGTCACTCAACATACCAGGAGCTCTTCTCGGAGTAGAAACTTTAAATAGTTCAAGACCAAAATGCTTCAGTTATTTAGATACTCATGCTCATCTTGGCTTTAAAGATTTGGAGCTATTGTAATACTAAACACAACAGTAGAACAGATAAAACAATGTAGATTAGGCCTCAACCACAACAAAATGGACTCGGTTATGCCATTTAAGCTGAAATAGTTAGAACCAAGATAAGAAGAGCTGTGAATGCCAAAAAGTAATCATAGAATTGAGTTCAGTGCCTGATAAGTTAGCTGCCTGTTTTACTAGAAATAACTACGAAGTCTAAAATTCGAGAACCTGTTTAGGATGATGTACATTCTGTTGAAGAGCATGACGCTATGCAAATCAGGACGCCATGCACTTATCTTTTATGCATATTCCAGGCCGACCTACTTAAGCTAACATGTTGGGAAATTGTTGAAAGTCTTGTGTTTAAGTGTATTTGTAATTGTTTATATATTTGTATGAAATGTGTCAGGTTAGTAAATATAGGCAAGATGGTCTGTGATTCTTTAATGTAAGTTTCTAATATATGTGCTGCTGAAGTGGGCACATAATGTTAAGCTGAAATAGAGATATTCATTCAGGGTAATTCTACAATGCCAATTAAGGCCTTTAAAATAGGCCAGTTTATTAAGAGGTGAAGTTTCAGGCATTAATTTCAATGGATGCGATGTGGACAAATATGTTCTCTCTACCATCACTGAGAAACTGGGTGAAGGGCAGAGAGAACATACCCTTTCAGAGAGGACTGTACAAAACTGATCACCTAGAGCATATGTGATAAGCACTAATGGACGCATCACAGGGTTTGACATACCTCGTAAGCCTTGCTGATTTGGATGAACTTGTCTTCTGCTCCAGGATCCTTGTTTTTGTCAGGATGCCTGAAACACAAATGGGCAGGCAGTGAGAGTGGATTTAATGTTTTACACGCAGTCAATTAACATCCTGTACACCTAGTTCACTATATCAGAGGCAAACAGAAGCCCATTCTGTTAGGACAGTTTCCTAAATGGTAAGAGCAATCACATGACTATAATAAATGAAATTTTCCAACAGGCATTTCCTTCCAAAAGCACTTCAACTGGGCACATTTTCAGAGCATCAGATAGTGCAGCATTTAGCTGGGGGAAGGTGGGATATGCACATCTTTGCATTGCTCCTAACACTGTTAGAGCTGGCTCAAGGCTAACGCCATTTATCCATAAGAATTGACTTCTTTTCCCAGTATGGCAGCATTTTATCCCCACTTTAGAATGGTATCAACGAAGGTAGTTTTTTCTGACAGCTCGGGCAGACACAGGAAATAGCTTTTAGGATGCACTGGTTTAATGAATTTGTTTAGTAACAACCATGTTCCAAAGAGCATCTTGCTGCTGATGTTCAAATGAGAACATCTGGTTTTCATTATTACTCTGGCTTATCCCATTCTGCCTGCGATTGCCTTTTACCTATAGATAATGACTTCAAGGTCACATGTTTTAAGATGTGAAAGTCTCCAGTTTATGCAAAAAGTGATTTCAACTAACATTAGGACTAATATTTGCTATTATACACAGTTGGCAATTACCTGTACTTATCTTGCAGTCAGATATTATTCTACAATTTTCTTGTGTTTATACCAATTTCTGATTTGGTGATTTTAAAGTCATGTAAAGTAGGGGCTGGGATTACTTCCTTAGGACCTACTACAACTAAGCCAGTGTCTTATACTTATTTTTCAATGTTCTTTTATTAAGAAACTGTGTTTTAGAGAGTATTTTTTAGGTAATAACTTCTGCTAACTTCTAGTAAATTTCCACCAGCAAAGATTTAGGGAGAGAGAAACAATCCACTGGGAAGCAAATGTCTACTAAAAATAGCACCAAGTACATTGGAATTTAAAAATATTATAACTTGACCAACATACTCTAGCGGGACATTTGAAATGAATCATAACACATATTCTGATTACTCTAAAAATAAACGGCAATGGTTATCTGTTGAATTCAGGCACTACTCTTCCCTTTAACTATTTAATCTTTGTTATGAATATTAGCTGGGAAAGAAATCTCAGCTAGGTATAATGAAAATAGTATGACTTAAGGAAACATGATGGGGGTTCCAAAACATGTTTTTTGATGATAAAAAAAAATGCTTTAAATACTCAAACCTAAAGGCTGAGAATATAATCATACAAATGAAAATTTAACACAGAACTCTGAAGGGAGAGAGCAAAGGAAGGGGGCCTTTAAGGAGACTGCACCAAAGAGTGAATTGGGAGGGCAGTTGGGTTAAAATCACAGATCCTGAAATGGAGGAAACCAAGGCCCAAGAACAGGAAGGAAACCACAAGAAGGGTTAGGTTATAAGGAACATTTTCCTAATTGTGGGAAGATACCACAAAGCTGGAAACATTTAGGAAAGGATACATTCAGCCTAGGGAAGTACCGTCCAATGCTACTTTTGGCGTGTATGAAGTATTTCATATACTGCAAATGTTGATACACGTCCTTTAAATTTCATAGCCAAGAAAATACAGTGCTTGGTATCTACTGGCTGACTAGCATCTCTAAGGGAATAAAAATGAAGGTAGAAAGAGTAATATAGCAAAGTATTAGACAAATGAATTTACTGTTCAGGTGACTGACCAAATTATACCCATTTGCTTCAAATCAAATTTTATGACACCTTTTTCTTGGGGTGAGAGGAGCTGTTTATTTTGTCAGTGTAGATGATAAAAGAAAATATCTATGATAAAATTTAATTACTGGGAGAAAAAAGTTTCCCTGAGAGAAAAAGTAACTAAATGGGTTTCACGGAGGGAGGGGAAGGGTTGTAAGAAGTCTAAGAAACACTACAAGTAGTAAAACGTGGTAGAGGAAGGCTACAAACCCAGTTCAACAATAAGACATATGCCCCTGCTACTACTCATTCTGATGAGTCTTACTGGGAAACGCTATTTTCAGTGTACACGAAACCATAATGAAATGAAAGAAACCACTTCAGTGATAAGACAACGCCACAGCCAAAACAGCAGAAAATCACCGTACAGTAAAAATACAAAGTAAAGTAAAACTTTAGACTTTTCCTGGATGACACTCCATATATTGCTATGGTGATGAATTACTCCTAGAGAGAGTCTAATTAAGGAAGAGAAGCATATGATTTATTTAATTAATAGCACAACACCCTTTTCAGCTCTGGAAGACAGAAAAGTCAAAGCTGTACATTTTAACAGGTTCTACATACTTGAGCTATCTCTGCTTTCAAAATGTTATCTAAGGCCATACCCTGTCCAAAAGAATGTTGCTACCTTACAAATTCACTGCAGATTTATGTGTATATATTCATTTAAATATAAAGAGCCAAGAGTTTGAAATGATGTTGAAAGCAGCTTTGCTGTAAAGAGAGCTCCTGGAATGAGGCCACACATAATCAGAGACTGTGTTTTTAGTATCCAATTCTGGATTCCTCATGGTATGAATAAGATCTAAAATATTTATGCATTCAAAACATCGTATTTTGAACTATCATTTACCTTTAATGCAACCCTTTTAGAACTAAGATACAGCCTTCATTGAAGAATATGGTACCAGACAGAGGTATGCCCAGCCTGCAATGTCATCTGCATATGCCAGCTTTGCTCCTGCATAATTTCCTTCCCACCCAAACACTAACCCACTCACTCTTATTTCTGTCCAGATGGATAATGGATTAAAAAACAGAAAAGCAATAAACTACCTGTTGGTGTAGAAGGTCAAATTATGTAACTCAGAGGTAATATAGACTTACTAGCTCTGAGCTTAGATTTCCTCACAGGTAAAACAGGGACAGGGATGTCCTCCCTTGTAAGGTAATTCTAAGGTAATTAAATGAGATATAAAGCATAGAACCTGGAGCCCAGCATACAGCAGGTGTTCAATGATGGTTCCTACCCCAAACCTTCTTTCTTGCTTATGGCTGGTTCTCCCAGCTTGCAGTTGCCTCTATCTTTTCCATCCTTTCCTCCTCCTCTGCTCCCCTCCAGCTCTGTAATCCAACACTTCTACATCTTTCCGTGTCCAAAGCATTGGCAAAAGAAACTGATGTTTGTCCAAAGTAAGTTTTAAATTTATTGCTTTCCTGCTAAATCATAAACACTTGTATATTCTTCAGCACATACAGTATCTACAGGTAAAATTATGATTTTTCTATATGATAATTCTTTATAAAGTAATGTACTCAATTCCTGAATATTCTTAATTCAGTTGAGGGGAAAAAGCTCTTACTCAAAAAATTCTTTGTAAGCTTAAAATAATTTAGGAAACAGGACTGGACAGTGCTCCCTTTAACAATGACACTCATGAAGAGTTACTTTATGAATAGCGTATTGTGGGAAGGGTAGCAGATCCACTGTTTATTAGAAAACTATTCCAAAAACGAAAGCTCCCTCCCACCTTAACATTAAATATATGAGCAGTGTCTAGGGCAATTCTTTAGGCCAAAGACTTCCTAAAAGGCAGCTTCATAGTAACAGGCTCTGGATTGTACTGAAACCTCTAGAATAACATAAATGCGGGTTCTCACAAATAAAATATTTTAGACAGCTATGTATTTATGGAACACAGAAACAGAGACAAACCAAAGCTAACCATAGATGGGTTTCATTTCCCTGCTAAAACTGCTTAGCTTATATTAAACTGCTATTTCTTTGTTTCACATACCATTCCCGGGCGAGCTTCTTATAAGCCTTTTTAATGTCAGCCTGACTGGCTGTCCGGCTGACCCCTAGGACTCTGTATGGGTCAAAATCCAACGCAGACAGAATTTGCAGGATCAGAACCAGAACTATCAAGAACTGCCAGGAAATGCTCAACTTTTTCACTTCCATTTCTCTTCCTTTCCAGAGCTGAAATGATTGAAGAGGCAGTAAGTTTCAGTGGTAGGAACCTGGACCGTCTTGTTTCTTAGGTAAAGATATAAGATATATAGATGAACAACAAAACAAACAAAAGATATTTTGCAGGAAAAGTGGCAAGCTGTTTGACCATGTCTTAAAATCAATAATCTTGCTACTATTTTTGAATATCGCAAATAAGAACTATTACAGATGAAAAGATGAGCAGTCAGAATTAATAGCAACTCTCCAGAATCCTTGGATTAGAAAAGCTTTAGAAATGACTGAAAATGAACGAAATGAAGAAATAATAAGCAAATGTGGGAAAACATACATAAGAAAATCAAGGCAACGACATCTCAAATACACTATTTCACTTATACAACAGTAATAGTTTAAACTTAAAATACGTGACTTAAGAATACCTCACTGAGTACATGCTAAATAAATTAATGAAATCTTAAGATTTACAAAGTACAAAACTGCAAAATAAAATAGCTGTGACATTCTTGGGGGTTAAATAAACACAAATATGGGAGTGAAATACCCTAATAAAACCTGCAGTTATAACTTAGTATGCCCCAATTCTATTCTTTCTCATTGCGGGCTTTGAACAAGAAAACAGAGAAGCTGCTGTTTAATTTGATCATTAGCAATACGGTCATTGTAAATGGAGACCTCGAATGAGAAGAAATGGGAGAAAAAATTTAGTTTTCCATGTGAAGAGGTATTGATGGCAGTAGACCAGGCATGGTCCTCAAATGCAAATGGGAGGTGAGTGTAGGTAGTGAATTCACCGTGGATTTTAGAAATAATCCTCGCTGGTTAATGAACAAGGTAGTGCTCTACTGCAGGGTCATTTACACTCTAGGATTAGGATCTTTGTGATATACAGTACAATGAGTTTTCAAGGGTCTTGATTCTCATAAATTAAAGTTTTAAGGTTCAAGTGTCTAACGTGTCAGTTTACTTAAGGAGGGACGCTGTTAACAGCGGTGGATTTCTGGCAAGTGGAAGTCTAAATGCTGCCTGGGAGTCCTCACAAAATTTGACTAATCTGTTGGTCAATTTTCAGGACTGCGTGCATGCTGCATAAAATCCTAAAGCCAATCAATTTCTTCCTTGTTAATGCAATCTATAACATACTGTCCTACAAAACACGTACAACTCGGGAAGGTGACGGAGCTACTGGCTAATAAGCACAGACAGGCTTCAAAATCAGACTACGATTGGGATCCGCCCTCCACCACTTGATGACCTTGGGCAAGTTACTTAACTTGCTAAACCTCAGGGTTCCTGTTCATAAAATGGGGAGAATACCACCTTGAACGGATGATCATGGGAGTTAACCGTATGTAAAGGATTTTCTGATCATACAGGGTCAGCAAGCCGTAAGTGGTACTTATTTTTTCCTACCATGCAGGGCAATCACTGCCTTATTCGGCTGTGTCAGTCGCCTCCAGGGCCCCAAGTGGAGGGGCCGCGTGGGAGGTTGTTAAGATCTCAGGCTGACAGTCTCGAGCTTGACTGTGCGGGCCTCAGGGTGGGAAACAACCTGCCAGTAGGTAGGCTACCGCCCACGGGCTGTATCCCCTGGCCCACACAGCGGTTCCTGGGGACAGGCTCTAGGTATGAGCCCCGCCTCCAGCTCCCACCAGAGGTCCTCTGCCGCCCACCGAGAACCCTGGCCCGGGCCCCGTCAGCTCATCGTTCCACCCGGGCCCAGCGGGGACTTAGAACGAGGAGGAACTGACAGGAGATCCCGGAGCCTGCCCGGCCCCACCGCGTCCGTGGCTCCGCGCGTCACGCCGGGAAGGAGTTACCGGGAAAGGGCACCGGCCTAACCGGCTGCGGGGTTCGTTCTCCAGTCAGTCCTCCCGGCCGGGAGCCTCGGGCGCACACCAGCGCTTTCCGGGCCGGGGGAGGGGAAGGAGGAGGGCAGAAGTCGTAGGGGAGTCACGTGACTCTTAAAGGCTCGGTGCTCCGAACGCGCAGACTGAACCGGTCGAGGGCTTCTACCTTACGAATCTTGTTTGATCCTTGTTACCAGCCGTCTGAGCGTGGACCTGGCGCGGTTGCTATAGGAACGGGGCGCGCTCTTTGGCTAGATCCAGAGGGATGATCGTGACCAAAGAACCCAAAACGTGCTTCCTAGAGAGGCAAAGTCGCGATGCATGATGGGATGCCAAAAGGACGTCCCTGATCTAGGGAGGAGGTTCCACTCCTCCCAGGAGATGGCCCTCGTCTAGCAACAGTTGTTAGAGTGGGGAAGCAATTGCAGGTCCCTGTTCTCTTTAACCCTATTCATAGGATCCTAGAGCGTCAGAGTTGGAAGGGACCTTAGGGATCCTTTCTAATCCAACTCCACAGTATGGGAGACTGAGGCCCAGGGAGGGACAGGGACTTGCCTGAGGCCTAGAATCCAGGGCTCCTAAACCCATTAACCAAAAAGCTTTCTCTGCAGTGTGTTAGGTCCTGCCCTTAGCAAGTGAGGTGGATGGTGGGAAGGAGGAGGAGAGTCATAGGTGAAAGAGGTAAACAATTTTCACTGAGCATCAGTTAGGTTCCTTGGGGATACAAAGAGATTTCACATCCCCCTGCCCTGTTATTACTTATTTTTAAAATCTAATTTGTATTTATCAGTAACAAACCATATCTTTTATTTATTTATATTGTTTATCATCTGTCTCCTCCCACTGAATGTAAACTTCTAAGGGCAGGGCTTTTTGTTTTGTTTACCCATATATTCTTGTGCCTTCCGTCTCAGTCAACACGATCTCAATAAATATTTGCGGACTAACTGAAATGAATGAATGGGGCTGACGTTTTGCTGCACAAGAAAAGACATTCTAAGATGGGCTTGAGTCAGGTTCGGGTTTGAATCCTGCCTCTCTCTGCCACTTACTACTTCTGTGACCTTGAACGTTGACTACCTCCTTGAGTCTCAGCGTCCACATCTGTAAAATGGGAGAAATGAATGTTTTCCCCAGTAGGATTGTAGTCAGACATAAAAGAGGTAATGAATGTGAAGTGGCTAGCAATTGGTTGGGACTTAACAAATGCTCAGTAAACAGGAGTCTTCATTTTATTTGTTTATTTATTTTTTATTAAGGTATCATTGATATACAGTCTTATATATGTGAAACCTGAGCAACATTGTGGTTACGACATTCCCCCTATTCTCAAGTCCCCACCATATACCCCATTACAGTCACTGTCCATCAGCATAGTAAAATGAAATAGAGTCACTATCTGTCTTCTCTGTGTTATACTTCCTTCCCCGTGACCCCCCTTATTATATTATGTGTGCTAATCATAATGCCCCTTAATCCCCTTATCCGTCCCTTCCCACCCATCCTCCCCAGTCCCTTTCCCTTTGGTAACTGTTAGTCCATCCTTGGGTTCTGTGATCCTGCTGCTGCTTTGTTCCTTCAGTTTTCCTTTGTTCTTATACTCCACAGATGAGTGAAATCATTTGGTACTTGTCTTTCTCCGCCTGGCTTATTTCACAGAGCATAATACCCTCTAGCTCCATCCATGTTGTTGCAAATGGTAAGATTTGTTTTCTTCTTATGGCTGAATAATATTCCATTGTGTATATGTACCACCTCTTCTTTATCCATTCCTCTACTGATGGAGACTTAGGTTGCTTCCTTATCTTGGCTATTGTAAATAGTGCTGCCATAAACATAGGGGTGCATATGTCTTTTTGAAACTGGGCTCCTGCATTCTTAGGGTAAAATCCTAGAAGTGGAATTCCTGGGTCAAATGGTATTTCTATTTTGAGTTTTTTGAGGAACCTCCATACTGCTTTCCACAATGGTTGAATTTACATTCCCACCATTAGTGTAGGAGGGTCCCCCCTTCCCAGGAGTCTTTATTTTTGAAATGTGGGAATGAGCCCTATAAACTGGGAGTTCAGAGGACTAGATTTCTGCCAGTTTTTTTTATGGGAGGTGCTAGGGTGGGAGAGAGTGAAGAGAAGAATGGAAGACCATGTAATGTGGGCTTGGATGGATGAGACGCGCGAGTTTGGAACAGTAAACGACTAGATTCCGGCATGGGGGTGGGGACAGGGGATGGGGCTAGAGGGCAGCCGGACTCGGGAGGCTGTGACAGGCCATGGCTCCAGGGGTTGGTGGCCCTTACTAGCAGTGCGACTCCCTCCTAGTCTCTATAAAAGCAGAGGGGTCGTGAATCGTGGCCCGGGGCCGGCGGCTGTGACGCGGGGGCGTGCCCAGAGGGCGGGGCGAGTCCAGGAGGCGGGTTCCGGGGTGTGGGCGGGGCGCCGTAGCCGAGGCCCGGAAGCGGACGGAGGCGGCTCCGGTCCCCTCGTCTGCCTGCCATGGATGAGGCAGATCGGCAGCTCCTGCGGCGGTGCCGGGTGCGGCTGGTCAGCGAGCTGCAGGTGGCCGCGCTCTGGGATGCTTTACTGAGCCGCGGGCTCTTCACGCTCGCCATGATCGAGGACATTCAGGTGCGCCCCGCGCCGCACGCAGACTTCGGGTCACTGGCGGGGACAGCGAGGCCGCGCGCAGGGGGCTGCTGGAGCCACACATGACTGAATGGCCGAGCTCCTGCCTCCCGGCTGCGCCACCCAGCACCCACCCTTTGGGGAACCATTGTGTGGGAACCCCATTTTTCCTCAGGGCGTCGAGCCCACTAGATCGCCTAGCGAAAGCAGGCAACACAGACCCCTCTTTCAGAGTTTGCTAAAGGGGTTGCACGCCCCAGCCTGCACCGTCGGCGGCTGCCCCACTGGGCTTCTTGAGGCCGTGGAGGCAGGTGTGCGTTTCCTCCTACAGCACGGAGGTTCAGGGCACCCCCTGGAGGTCAGACTGCCTGCCACTGTGTCCCCGAGCAAGTCACTTAGCCTCTTCGAGCCTCAGTTTCCTGGGCTGGGAATGGGGACAACAGCAGTATTGTTGTGAAGGCTAAATGAGAAAATGGATATGGCGCAGGAGAGCGTCGGGCGCAAGGGTAAGGTAGCGGCTGTGCCCAGCCCTCTTCGGCCAGACTTTCTTTCCTATAAGTTGGTTTTGTAAGGGGTTTTGGAGATGAGGGGCCTGGTGCGGGTAATGGAGAGAATAATAACCTCACATATTTGAGGTTCTTTTTAAAGGCACTTTAATTTATTTGTATTACTTGTTGACCCCCTCCACCCCCCAACACAGGCCTGTGAGGTAAGGGGGGTACTGGAGGTGTTTCCTACAGTGAGGTGCAGTGGGGTGTGTAGCTTTCTGGAGGCCCATGGCCAGTGGCCTGTGGGTGGCTTGCAGGTCAGGTGTCTGGTTTCTCTATTATCCAGGAGCTTGGCCTGACCCAGTGAGGATGTCTTTAATAGGACAAATATATGGAAAATAACCAATGAATACTATTAAAATAAGACTTATGCTGTGGGGCCTGTACTGAGGTGTGGAAATGGTTTGAGGTCATATCCTTACCTTCATGCACACTGACAGGGGCTCTAAGCTCAAATGCCCACTGAGGCCCAATGGGTAGGCATTGTAGTAGGCCTCCCTCCCGCCAGCTCCAGCTAGGTATGGTCATACCAGAATGCTGGCCCTGTGTTGCCAGATTTTGCATGTTTTTAAAGAGAGCTGAAATTCTTGATTTTAATGTCAAATTCCCTGATTTGAAATGTCAGCAACACATTGAGATTTTTAAAAGGACATTGTGTGAACAATGAGCTGCCATCTTGCCACACCTAGTATGGCTGAGACATGTATCTAGGTCCTCATCCTGGCTTTGTTATGTATTACAAGTGCAATATTAGCAAGTCCCTTTCTGGGACTCAATTTCCCTCATCTGTAAAGTGGGGATATGTGTAATTTAACCCTGTAAGGTTGTTGAGGGGGTCTAAGTGGATGATGCATTTAATACAGTGTCTGTCTTACCATGAGTGTTCATTTAATATTGCAAGAGATCAGAAAATCCGATCCACTTGCACAGAAGTGGCATGTAGCTGTTTTGCTAGTTGTAATGATCTTCTGTGACACTATAGGTAGGTCTATGTTGATCAATACAACAGCCATTTGCCACCTATCCTATTTAAATGTAAATGTGAGGTAATTAAAATTAAGCAAAATAAAAAATTCAGCTCCTCAGTTGCAGCATATGTGCTCAGCAGCCATGCATGGCTGACGGCTACCATATGGACAATACAGATAAAGAGCATTTCCATCATCACAGAAAGTTCTCTTAGCACTACTGTAGGATATTTGAGGACAGGGTTGTGTCTTATTGCTGTGTGGGCCTGAGGAACTTGCCTAGAGCTGGGTCTCCAAGGACAGCCAGCAGGTAGCAAGCATCTTTCTCCTGCTGTCTGTCTCAGTGATCCGCCCCACTGTCCCGCCACCTGCCAACCTTGACCATTCCTGCCTCTTCACAGTCCATCCAGCGAATGCCGAAATCCTGCCGATTCTCTCTACTTTTTCATTTAATCTGTCTTCTCATCTCTCTCCACTCCATCTGCACCGTTTTTACCGCCATCTGACCTGACTGGGGCTCACTCCCTTCCACTGTCCATCCTGCCCCCAGAGTGAATTTTCTAAAAGGCAGATCCGACTGTCACTTGCCTTCAAACTCTGCAGAGACTCCTCGCAGCTTTTGTGTCATGACCGCGCAAAGGCCTTATTCCTCACTGCTGTTTCCTATCCCTGCTTATATTTCTAATTTCTCTCAATTCGCTATTCACTTCCTAATGTTTTCTGGGGTCTCAGCTAAGACACCCCCTCCTGGAGGCTTCCCTGGTCCTCCAAGGCTGAGCTGGGTACCCCTGCACCATCCTCAGCCCTCCTGGTATTTCTCTCCTTGGTGCGTCACTGTGGGGTTGTCTGTTTGCATCCCTAACTAGACATGTGCTCCTTTGCTCATTGAGGACTAAGACTGTTCACGACTGTTTCAGCACTTATACAGCACTGGGCACATACCAGATACCTCCAAAATACCAGCTGAATAGATAAGCAAAGGCTGGCGAGTGGTACACAGTTAAGTACAGGCCCAATTTGTGCCCATGTGCCTGATTGTTTAGACTTATACTAGATGGGGAATGGACGGACAAAGTGAGAGTCCCACGAAATGGTGTGGATAATAGTGCCATGTCTTTCTTTCCAAACAGCATGCAGGATGTGGGTCTCGGAGTGACCAGGCCAGGCAGCTGATCATAGATCTAGAGACTCGAGGGAGCCAGGCCCTTCCTTTGTTCATCTCCTGCTTAGAGGACACAGGCCAGGATATGCTGGCTTCACTACTGAGAATGAGTGGACAAGCAGAGAAGCAGAGAAGCAGAGAAGCCATCAGACCCCTGGACCTCAGGCCTGGGGTGCCCAGACCAATGGGCACTGAACGAGAGGAGCTGACAGTGAAGCAGGAGCCAGCAAAGCCAACCCCAGGTGCACTTGATACAGTGGTGCTACGGCCTGAGGAGCTCTGGCCAGCCAAGCCCAGGCCAATGGTTGTCAGACCAGAGGTGCCCAGACCAGTGGACTGTGGTTCTGGCGTTTTCAGTGATGTCTGTGAGTACTGAGAGTGGTTGGTGGGTGGTCAGACCTATGAGGTTCATGCGCTTGGATGTCCAATCCTCTTGCCAGATTTGAGAAGTTCTCAGCCATTCTTTATTTTTTTTCTTTTTAAGCAGAAGTATAATTTATTGAAAAGACATGTGGTAGTTTTTTTTATTAAGGTATTATTGATATACACTCTTATGAAGGTTTCACAAGAAAAACAATGTGGTTACTACATTCACCCATATTATCAAGTCCACCCCCACACCCCACTGCACTCACTGTCCATCAGTGTAGTGAGATGCCACAGAGTCACTACTTGTCTTCTCTGTGCTATACTGTCTTCCCCATGATCCCCCCCACACCATGTGTACTAATCATAATACCCCTCAATCCCCTTCTCCCTCCCTCCCCACCTGCCCTCCCTTACCCCTCCCGTTTGGTAACCGCTAGTCCCTTCTTGGAGTCTCTGAGTTTGCTGCTGTTT